GCCCGGGACCCTGGGCAATTGCCCCCCCCCCTGTCACCGGGCCTGGAAGTGATAGACTAGAGGGAAGGTAGCTAGTCAACAATACCCACCACCAACTCTTGGGCTCCTCTTTTACCAACAAATAGTAGGATTGACTGTCACATTATAACGCTCACATCGCTGAAAGGGCAAGCATGTCCGGCGACGGGTTTCAATCTCATAGATTGCAAGTTAATTAAACGCCCTAATCACTAGATCATGACAGCTCCGAAGAACAAAGCTAAGCTTCTTATAACGGTGAAATGTATATTATATGTGGTATTTTTAACAGTCTTTTACTCACTGTGCTGATTTTTAATATTTGTTTGTTTTTGGATAAATAAATTACACTTTCGTTTATTTATTTTGTTACTTCTACCTCTGTGATTTATTTTTAAAACTAAGTTATTTTTTAAGTTTAAGTATATTACATAAATCAACGACTTAAGCAGTGGAAAAAGGTTTTTAGCAAATTGCTATATTTTTTCATCTTTACTGGTCGAGCCGAGTGCGGCCCTGTGTGCTGGACTGAAGACCTAAGATTATGTGGTTCTTGCCCTGCTACTTCCCGAAAAACTTCAAACTCTAGGGCTGTGAATATGTTATAAGAGTGGCAATCAAATTCCACTATTAGATGTGTCAATAGTTGGGAATTAGTGGTGTTGATTAGTTGTCTTTCCTTTAGTTTATCATTTCAAAATTAGGGACGGTTAGCGCAGATAGTCCTCGTGTAGCTTTGGTATCGAAACCAGATTTTTAGCGTCACTGAGGGGGGGGGGCAACCGTCATGTTACCTCAAGACTTGACTCGTAAACATTTTGCTGTACATGGAAGGTAGATGAATAGTTATCGAACTCATCCAAGACAACTTATTAAACAGGTTTCACAGCGATAAAGCAAAGTATCTATTCATTTTAATATTTATTGTTTGGAAATCAATCAAAGTTTGAAAAAACGAATAACCTTGAGTGGCAACGGTTTGATTTTTCAAATTTTAGACACCCAGTTTTTACAACCTTGTCATTACAAATTAGTGAAATTACAGCATAGTTGTTGGGGTTTGAGCTTAAGTAAGGGAGAACTCATAGAAGATATTTGATATGACAAATGATTTAAAATAACATGAAATAATTTTCAGCACTATGCGATATAAACTAAACAACTTAAAAGTCGTACTGAAGAACAAGGAAGGTATATTTTACCAAATGTTTTACGTTGAGAAACGGGTACGCCGTGGCTAAACTACTCGATAATTCTACAGACTGTTTGTTCACTTAGTTAGAAGAAGCCACGGAACTCGTGAAATTTGAAAACAGAGGAAGGTGGTCTGTAATTTTCATGCATATGTACAGTCTTTTTTAATACAATCTTATGTAGCGTTTAGGTCTATATTTGTATAAAAACATTTTTGTATGAATTTATTTGTTGAACTATATTGCATTAACCGGAATAATAGTATAATCACCTAGGCCTATACATGCGTCATTATTGACGTATCACTAATACTAGTAGTAACACGGTGTAGATCATGTAGCTCATATTGAGTTATAATAACTGACAGGAGTAAAGAGTATACTTTAAAATAAAGTTTAAATCCGCTATTATTTATTACGGAACAAACAAACGTTGGACTTTATAGTTATAACTTATATCCATCTAAATGTGTTGTTCTGTAATAGTGGATCTAAACTTTATTTTATTTTTAGATTAGTTTGAACGATATTGTGCATTTACCTACTACTGAGTACTAGTAGTACTACTATTATTAGTGTACGGTAAGCCTACGTGTTAGAAGAGCACCATACTATTATTATTATTGCTTAGAGTTAGAAGTAGTATTAAGTCTGCTGTATATATATTCAGCTTGTAGTATTACTAACTATTAGAGTAGTAGCGGGTCTACTTTATACTACTTTGTCTCTTTTGTTTGGATTGCAGTGTTGTAATACTTGCAGTGGCTACTGCAGGCGTTGCAGCTAGTTTTCCTCTATTCCACAGATTTTCGAAACCTTGGGATATCTGGAATGACTTGGGGTAATCCTGGGATTCATAATATGTAAAGAAACTCAATAATAATTAAAATTCGCTGTAACTGAATTACACACATTTCAGTAAACAAAAGTGAATAATATTGTAAAAAATACTGAATTAATAAAATAAATATAATAAAATGGCTTGTTCTAAACAGAAATTAACTACAATAAATTCCTCATTAAGAAAACAAGCTATTCCATCCCGAATATTCATCTTAATCAAACAAAACAAGTTTCATTTTCCTGATCATTAATCAAGTCGTATCTTTTTTTGTCACACTTGTAGTGTTGTGGTTTTATCTCACTATTTCTTAAAACAGTTCTTCAAAAAAACACACAAATTATTAATACTGATATGATGAGTGATATCACCAAGATAATGAGAGGTGTCCATATTTTCATAACAAAAAACAGAGAATGCTCTGTCTACCTCAACTGAAATTCAAGAATGGTTGATAACACTTTAAACGGGTATTAGGTGTGCATTTTCCAGTGGTTCCAAACACAATGTTTTTAAGGTCATACTTCTGATAGACATCAAAGTGTTGTAGTTACAGCTTCATCAGTTGCAGAATCCAACTTCTGTGTTAATGATAGTTTGGTGAGGGAGGACAGTTTTCTTTATGCGTTTCATCTTGCACTGTGTCTATCACCAACACCAGTATCTTACTTTTGAAAAGCCTAGATAATTATTTGCCCATTGTTTGTAGCAATGATTTTGAGTATTCATGTATGGAGATGGATTATTCAATTATCTCAACAGTCCAATCAAATTCTTGTTTCTCCTCTATTTTCAGTTAATCATTTTATTTCAGTAGCAAACACTGTAAGTCGTTCACTTAGTTTATTCAAAATAAATGTGAACACACCTTCTGCAGACAGTAATGTTGTATCTCATCATCCAAGCCTTTAAACTCCAATTCTGAAAGATTGTAATGTAGGTACAATACTTTGAAGAGTGTAAAATTTTACTTCTGTAATATCTAGTTGAGTTTCATTATTAACCACTTTTGAAACACATTTCCTCACTGCTAAGAACCTCTAACATTTTTAACAAACTGTTTCATATTGTTTGAATCAAGTTTCAGTTGCAATTCTTTAACAAGTTAATTTTTCACATAGTTTTGCACATTTTCATTTTTCACTGGTGACTTGAAACATTTATACAACTTTTTCCACTGTAACTATTGTGCTACCAATATTTACATTAGATTCTACACCTTCTGTTAACTTTACTTGTTCATCCTTCTCAGCTCCAATGTTAGAAATTTCTATAGCAGCAGCAAATTCATGAGTATTGTCAATTTATTCATCTGATTTCTTGGAAGCAACGTATTCTTCGACAGATTCCAACACATCAGTGTTTGAATTACTTTGCTTCTTGTAGAGAACACCACGTATAGCTAGGTGAAGTCCATGTGAATAACCCAAATGATGATCAAATTCACTTATTCTACCAAATTTAACAGCATTACTAGCTCCATCTGTGACATTTGCAATAATATCTTTCTTTAGGTAAACATTGAATTCAGCAAACATGCTTTCAACAATTTCAAGGATTTTCTCAGCTGGCAGAGAACCTAAAATCCTTACCATACTTAAATTCCAGAATTATCCTGTAGCACAAACATTTATGTTCATATAATGACAATTTCAATGTGCCGGATGCAACGAGATGCTAAATCTGGCTTCATTTGGTGCTCTATTAGCTATTTCTGGAATATCATTTCTTTGGCAAGATTATATTTGTATACTAGACTCATGACATGATAAGGATGCTCAGATAAG